GGCCAGGAGGAGGAATGCGCCCGGGGCCGTTTGCTGCGCGGCGCGCCGGCTGCTGCGGCGCCCTTTGTGTGGGCGGCGCGGGGAAGGGGAAGTGCGCGGCACCGCCGCGGCGCCCCAGCCCGCGCTCCCGCTCCCGCCCGGCCGCCTGCCCTGCCCGCGCTCCCTGCCGGCGCGGTAGTCTCAGCCCCTGTGCGCCGGACGCGAGGGTTGCGCGAGGCACGTGCGCGAGTATGCCTAGCCCTCGGCAACTTTTTCCTTCTCTCTCGTAACAGAGAGTTTTCTCTGGAGACGACAAACAAACAAACAAACAAAAAAAAACTCGCCTTCCCTTGGTTTAAGATCGCTGTTGTGTCTTTGAGGTCCCATTTTTCGCTCTTTACGTTCTTCTTGTTCTCTGTTGCTGTATGGAGGCCCTGTTCCAGCGAAAGAGAATACTACTTGATTAAAAAAAAGCGAGTCTAGCCTGCAAGCATAATACTGTTAAATGCCTAGCTTAAAACTGCGTGGATTTGCGGGGAGGTTTTCTTCTCTTAACGTTTCTAGTGTGGTAATCCTGCGCTGCGCAACATTACAAACTAAAGTTACTTTATTTTCTCTTGAAGTTAGAGATACAATAGCTTAAAACACCGGGAAGTACCATGGTATTATAGACTTCACTTAAGTTTTGTTGTCAGTACCCTTCTGTTGAACGTATACGTTAAATCTGCTTTTAAATAAGTATATTTTGGAAGAGTGTACTGTTTCCCTAAGAGTGCAAATATTGAAGCATTATATTATCTAATGAGAACTACAGATAAAACTGATGTCGTCCAAACTGAGGCAATTGTGAAAAAAAACTTGAACTTTGGAGGCTTTAATTTTGAAATAAAGAAACTCTTAAATATCTGGTTTTGAAAATGAATGACTTTTCCCTGTGTACCTTGCTTAAAAAAAGTCAGACATAGTGCTGCGGCATGTTTCTGGTTTTGTGGGTTGAAGAACACAGTGGCTCAGTTGATCCTTTACAACTTTGTTCTTGAAACTTGGAGGAAATTTGGGTGAGCGTGCGTGTTTAGTGCTAAGAAGTTTTGGTGAGGAGACAGAGAAGTAAATTTTGATTTGTGTGTTTAAATATATTTCTTACTTCTCCAATCAACTAGGGGGACGGGTCAAGAAAATGGAAAAGTGATGGTGTTATTTCAGGCTGCCATTTCGTGGCCAGTTCTGCCATTCCTAACAGTTTCTGCTCCTGCTGCAG